TAGGGGCTAAAGAAATAATCCAGTCAAGGAGTATTGAGTTTTCAACATACTTTGATGGTTACGAGGGTGGGGAGGGAGGGAGAGGGTTATTCACTAACTAGATAGTAGACAAGAATTATCTTAGGTGAAGAGAAGAACAGCACACACTACAGGTGAAGTCAGCGCAACTGGACTAAACCAAAACTAAGAAGTTTCTGAACACAACCAAACACTTTGAGGGACAGAGTAGCAGGGGCGGGGGTCTGGGGACCACACTTTCAGGGGACATCTAGGTCAACTGGCATAACAAAGTTTATTAAGAAAATGTTCTGCATCCTACTTTGGTGAGTGGCATCTGGGGTCTTAAAAGCTAGCAAGCGGCCGTCCAAGATGCATCAAGTGGTCTCAACCCACCTGGAGTAAAGGAGAATGAAGAACACCGAAGACGCAAAGAAAGTATTAGCCCAAGAGACAGAAGGGGCCACATAAACCAGAGACTACATCACCCTGAGACCAGAAGAACTAGATAATGCCCAGCTATCACCAATGACCACTGTGACGGGGAACACCACAGGGAGTCCCTGATGGAGGAGAAAAGTGGGGTGCAGAATTCAAATTCTAGTAAAAAGGCCAGATTTAATGGTCTAAGACTGGAGGAACCCCAGAAAGCTTGGTCCCTGGACTCTGTCAACCCAGAACTAAAATCATTCCTGAGGTGAACTCTTCAGACAAAGACTAGACTGGACTATGGGACATAAAATGATACTCGTGAAGAGTGTGCTCCTTAGCTCAAGTAGATACACAAGACTAAATCAGTAGCTCCTGTCTGGAGGTAAGATGAGAAGGCAGAGAAGGTTAGGAGCTGGTCGAATGGACACGGGAAATCAGAGTCGGAAAGGAGGAGTGTGCTGTCACAGTATAGGGAGAGCGATTAGGGTCGCGTAACAATGTATGTATAAATTTTTGTATCAGAGACTAGCTTGAATTGTAAACTTTCATTTAAAGCACAACAATAAAAAAAAAGTAGCATTGAGTTTTCAAATAAGTATACTCATTTGGTCACACGAATATTTCAGTATTTAATATACACCTGGCTCTGTGCTAAGCGTGGTATATTAAATGGAAAAGACACAGTTACTGTTCTCAGTATGGTTAGAGAAATAACACACAAAGAATGATTATAGTATAGTATAACAAATTCAACAATGGAAGTGTTTAGAAGGTACCACAGAGAAAGGCATGCTTAACTCTGAAGAGGAGGCCTTTGAGATCTTAATGGATTATTTCAGACATGCCAGGTATGAGTTACTTATGTGATCTTCAAAAGCAGATCACTAGGAATTTGGAGCTCAACAGAGAAGACACTAGTGTTGATAGTAATCAACACTTACATCATTACATGCCAGTCAGTGTTCTAGGTGCTTTACATATATTAACTTAGTTAAAGCTCACATAACATGAAGAGGTGTTATTACTATCTCCATTTTTAAAACAAGAAACTGAGGCACAGAGAGACTAAGTAATTCACCCATGGTTACAAGGCTACTGCGTGGATGAAGCAGGATTTGATACTAGGCAGTTAGGCTCCTTATTACATCTCTCAGCTGGAGATAAAGACTCAGGATTTATAAAGATTCGGGTAGCTGATGGCCTGAGTATAGTTAAGGTCCCCCATGGAAAGCGTACAGACTGAGAGGAAGTATGAGACTGTAAGCCAATAGAGGAAAGCAATAAAGAGTTTCAAATATCCATAGACAGGTGGAATAACAAGGTTAAAAAAAGAGTCTACAGCATTTGACAATTAAGTCATTAAAGACCAATGTTAGAACAATTTATAGGGAGTGGTAGTGAGAAGACAAAGGGGCTTAGAGATATGGGCGATAACAAAGTACAGAACATGAATTATCCTACTGCTACAAAAACTTGGCTGTGAAGAATGAGTAGCAAGTTACAGGGAGTAGTAAGAGATAGACCTTGGCTCAAAGGAGCTCCCTCACCCCTCCACCTTTCTTCTCCCATTGGAAGAACCATAAACATACCTATCATCAGAGCAAAGTTACCATGCAAGAAGGAGCAGAGACTGACACTATAAGGAAAAAAAGGATGACTCATTAAGTTTTTGGTGAAGTGAGAAGATGGGAGCAGCTTTAAGTTTGCAGATGAAGTGCAGAGAAATTGAGAGTTCATGTTCAGTGGTCTCTATGTTCTCTGTGAAACAGAAGGTGAGGTCCACTACTGAGTGATGAACCCAAGGAAAACTCTAAGCTTTTGGAATAGTCACTAAAAGGAACAGGGGGATGAGCAAATCAAGGACAAAAAGACTGCTGAGATGTAAAGACCCAGTGGAGACTAGAAGAAAAAAAGTCATGCATATATAGGGGGCATATAAGACCAAGACCTTTGGTTATAGAATTTCTCCTGCTGTGTTTAGCAACTCAGGTACAGGAGGAGAAAAGGCAGATTTTATAACTGATACAGGATTTGAAGTTTGAAGAGTGGGTAGAGCATAAAGACAATGTGTCAAGCAAGACAGCATGCTGGTGAGGGATTTATTTATATACAGGACCATGGGTTAGATGAGGAGTTACAGTCAGGAGGGGACTGACAGCCTGTGGGGAAAAAAACCAAGAAGTCAAGGGACAGGAAACACCATTAAGAATGAGTAAGTTTAGTAGGAAAGGAGTAGGAGAGGTAGAAAGATCAGTTATAGTAAGCTCCACAAGAGCAGAGAGTATGCCTGTTCTGGTCACCCTTGTTTAGTTAATATCAATAAACATCCATTGCATAAATAATTCGTCAGATAATAGATACTGGGGTTTAAGATTTGTCTGTTATAACAAAATCGAGGGTATAATTACGGATGTGAGCTGCTAAATAAAGCTGGAGAGCAGGGTCCTTGGGGGTCAATGTGGTCAACACACACTAAAACTCAAGTACTGGCTGGGTCATCCACGTGCTGAAATCTACAATGGTGTGGGTTAGAACAGAGAAGATTGTGAAACATGTGACAAAGTATATGTGTGAGGGACATATAGTGAAAAGGAATTGAGCAGGTAAAGCAAGACTGCTGAGGCCCCAAAGGAGAAATTTTGCTTAAAGGTGGAAAATGATTGCTTTGGGAAGAGCACTGAAAAGCTGGGAGAACAACATTTCTCCCTTCTAGCCTTGCGATAAAGGATGGGGAAGGAGGAGAAGTGTGGGAGAATAAGCAGCCCCCACTTGAAGGAGTGCCAGAGAAGTGGTGTCCTTGAGAAAGTGCCAGGTTTCAGTTAAGGCCAGGAGGGGTAAGGAACATCATGTGAAGAGGAACAGAGGCTCCAGAAGGCAGAGTGAAAGGGGTGGGAGGAAAGTAGTGGGAGGATGAGCCAGGAGGGAAAGTACAGAGCAATATGGGAATGAGAGTATGAAGACAGGAGGCCAGAAAGGCTTGTATTTTGGTCACCACAAGGACACTAAGGATAAGAGTCATGGAAATAATAACCGGCTGTAAGGTTTGGATCAGAACTTTGAATAAAACAGTTTTGGTACTGGTCCAAGTGTTCTCAGAGTCTGGTTTCTAGTAGCTTTTTAGATATTTTAATCATAGAAACAAGATTCTTACCCAGTGACACCAGGTTCCCATAATTCTCCATCATCACATCTTTATACAGGCTTCTCTGAGCTGGGTCCAGATAATCCCACTCCTCCTGGGTAAAAAACACAGCCACATCCTCAAATGTCAGCAACCCCTGAAATAGTATGATTTCCGTAGTCAGTTCCTGTTGTCTCAAGGACAACTCTACCACTGGAAGTGGCAGAGGCAATCACTTATCAGGGCCCAGTAGGCTAGGAGGAACATAGTAACTCAAGAGTTCCAAGTTGGGTCCAACTCTGAGAACTAGCTGTAACAGACAGGCACCTTAGACTACAGGGCAACTTGGCTGGAATCCTGTCCTGAGAATAAAGCTGGTTTAATAATTATGCCCTAATATTTTCTGGTTTCAGAATTATGCCTTAATATTTTAATTCTAGTAAGCTGCCCCAAGACCTCTTCCAGCTTTTCACCTTATTGCTCCGCTCCAATTCTCTATTCGCACCAGCTAGTGACCCTGTTCTATTCCACCAGGTTCTCTAGGCATCCACCCTGGGTCCAGGCATGGTGCCCAGCGCAGAAGACACAGGGGAGGGACAGAAGACACAGATGAGTGCCTCATCTGGAGAACTCACAAGTGAGAGCCAGCCAGGGGCATTACTAATTCTCTCCAGCCGATTTATCAAGTCGCTCTAGAAATAAAAGGAGTCAATGGGCAGTTTGGTCGCGACCGCACCCCAGAGCCCTAGGGGGTAGTTCCCTGCAGGTGGTGGCCCTAAAGACCGCCGTAGGGGTGGCCCAGTGGCGCGGTCTAGCACAGGTAATAGTGAGAGAACGGGGATACCCGGAGGGGCGACTTACCTTTGGCTCGGGCGGGGGGCTCGGGGCGGCCATCTCCCGGCCCGAGAAACGGGACAGGAACCTGCGGCGGCTGCACGGAAAGGAGCGTCTGGTGAGGCCTACCTGACCCCAGGAGATTAGGCCCGACGAAGACGAGGCCTCCTGGCTGGGTCCAGCCAGGTCCTGCCTCGGTCCCCGGGCGGTCACGACCCCAGGCGCATATCAGACGCGCTCCCTTGACCGTCCCCCAGCCCCCAACCCCTCCTCTGCCAGGTTGCGCAGCCTTCCAGGCCTCTCCAAAGCCTCCTCCCCACTGCTAGTTCCTCCTCCTTTCAGCCTAGGAGCGCTATGACCGCCCGCGCCCGAACCACAGGCGTCACCCGGTATCTTCCCAGGACGCCCACCCCACCCCCCTCCCCGCCCCACTACAACTCCCGTCATGCTCCGAGAGAGCGCCGCGGTCCAGCCTCTGTCGGCAATGACTACCGGACTACAATTCCCGGCGTGCACAGGGAGGGCGACGACAGCGAGCCTTAACAGGAAAAAAGTGACATCTGCCATTCAGCTTACAGCCCATTGGCTGGTCTTGGAGCGTCACTGCCGGCTGAGGGCTGAGCTCCGGCTCGTAGCTTTCCTTGGAAATGGCGGCTTTGTCTGTGTTCGGCATTACCAGAAGAGGCCTCATGTGGATAGTCTCAGGGGCGCCTCGCCGGCAGTTTTGGTTTCCATCCAGGTAAAGGCGAAGGTTAGATGGTGGGTCACTTTCATGGAAAGTAAAGAGAGAAACTGATGAGCATGAAGGGGTTTCTGAAGGGGGTGTCATGTTACTAGGACGGGACCTAATACCATGAAAGTATAATATCAAGCATGAAGGACAAATTCAAAAGGGGGTGTCATGCTGTTAGGATGGAATTTAATAGCAAGAAAGTGCGTTAGGGGCCTGAGTTCAGAAGCTTTAGCACCGCTTTCCGCGAGGGTGGGGACCCAGTTACTTCTCCCGGCCTCAGTTTTCTTATAACGGAAATAATACACTCAGTAATGTATTAAGCAAACAGTATTGACTATGTGCCAGACGCTAAATGACTCGGAATGATCAATTTGGATCACGAACGTGAAAGTGCTCAGTAAACTAAACTATGCGGGGTATATTCACAAACAAGATTCAGAAATTAAGTGCGGTCTTTTCATTTTGTTCATTGTTCCATTCATTTACACAGCAGATATTAAATATCTTCTCTGGACCAGCATTTCCCTAAGCGTGGAGGCTATAGCGGCAGAAACGGAGTTCCTTCTCAGAGCTTAAGTACTCTGACATATGAGGAAACTGAGGCCCATAGAAGGGAAGTATTTTTCTCAAAGTCACAAAGCAAGTTAATTGCAGAGCTGCGGCTAGAACCCAGGTCAACTAACTCCCCATCGACTTTTCCCACTGCACCATGTGGAATTGTTTGAAGTTAATACCTGTTTGACCCAGGTAGTGTTTAGGGCATTCTCCTCAGGGAACAATGTATGTCCTCTCTTAGGTTTCAGGCAAAAACTGTCCAGAAGGATTTTTTTCCTTGGACTTTGACATCAGTTCATGTATTAGCGTCTCCTCTTCATTGACTAGTATTTGTTATCTCTCAAATCTTGAAGTTTATTTCATTCATTAATTCAGCAAATATTTGGAGTATCTACTATATGCCGGGGTCTATTTTAAGTGTTAGGGCTACAGTAGTGAATAAGGCAAAGTTCAAAGTTTTGTCCTCATAGACTGTTCTAGTGGAGAAGAAAATAAAGAATGTAGAATAGAATTTCAGGAAGTGGAAAATTAAGACAACTAGAGCACAACAAGAGAGTGAGATGGAAGGAATGAATTACATTCTGAGTGTGATGAGATGTGACTGGACTGGTTTGAGAAAATAAGAGGTGAGGAAGTAGAGACTAAGTATAGACAGCTCGTTTAAGAAGCTTTATTGTAAAGGAGGGGAGCATGGAGTCTGGGGAGAATTTTTTTCTTCAAAGATGGAAGATGTTACAGCATACTTTGAGCCAATGGGAATATTCTAGCAGAGAAGGAGAAATTGATAAAGAATTGATGCAGACAGAGGGATTAATTGCTAGAAGAAAGTCCTTGAGTAGGCAGAGAGGAATAGCATTAAAAACCATATTCTTGGCCAGGTGCAGCAGCTTCATTTCCAGCTTCTGTGACCAAATCCAATCAGATGCCAACTCCATGGGAAAAAGGAATCCCAAGGTAGTTCATGAATAAACCTTTTATTGACTACTTTGACTATGTCAAGCAGATTCCATCATTGGCCCATATACTTGAAACTAGTTATTCAAATAGTTACTAAATGTGTTTTCAGAGGATCCCAAAATTAATGAGACAAGTCTGTGTGTCCAGGAGTTTATAATCTGGTACAGTAGTTCTCAACTGGGAACAATTTTGCCTCCCCCCTCTCTATCCCCCCAGGGGACATTTGGCCATGTCTGGAGATATTTTTGGTTGTCATGACTGGGGATGGGAGTGCCACTGGCATCTACTGGATAGAGGCTACAGATGCTGCTAAGCATCCTACAGTACATAGGACAGCCTCCCACAACAAAGAATTATTTAGTTCAAAATGTCAATAGTGCTGAGGTTGAGAAACCCTGATCTAGTAAGAGAAGTGGAATATAGATAAAATTAAAACTCAGGTAGGATGTGATCTGTTCTGAGAATAATAAAAACAAAGTGCTGCAGGAGATCAGAGGAGCTCACAGATATATTTGATTGGGGAGACGAGGGAAGGCTTCTTAGAATAGTTTTGTCCTAGAACTTGTGGGATGGATAAGATTTCTGCAGATGGAGATGAAAGGTAGACATTTCAGATGGGACATAGCTTCAGCCAACACATGGTGTCAGGAAAGGGGAAGCGTGTTTGAGAAACAATGTAGTTTGGGTAGAGTTTAGAGGGTATATAGGAGATTAGTGGGAGACGAGGTTAGAGAAGTAGATTGAGGTCAGAGCCTAGAGGACTGGGAATCCCAAACAGGAAGATTTAACTTCTTTGTCCATTCTTTTTTTTTTTTTTTAAATTTCATCCATTCTTAAGAGTTCTTACAGCACATAAAATATGTTATTAGCTTCTGTTTTCTATCTGTGTCAACTCCTAAACTATAAGCATTCTGTGGGCAGGGACTCTTGTCTTACTCTCCACAGGGTCCAGAAGAGTGGTAAGTGTGTAGATAATTTGTTGATTTTGATTGGTGGGCAAGATTGAGTCTGGTGTTTGTCAACTTCACTAATGCAGTGAGCCAAAGATTCACATATATATTTTTGATGATTCCAGAAAAGAGAAAGAGCCAGTGTTGGCTGAGACAGTAGAAGAGGTGAAGAAAGAACCTATCCTGGCATGTCCACCCTTACGAAGCCAAACATACATACCACCTGATGATCTCCAGAGTCGTCTGGAATCTTGTGTCAAAGAAGTTTTTGGTCCATCTGTTCCTAGGAATTGGCAGGACATCTCCCTGGATGATGGTTATCTGAAGTTTAGTCTCTTGGCACATCTAGCTGATGACTTGGGCCATGCAGTGCCTAACTCGAGACTTCATCAGATGTGCAGAGTCAGAGATGTTCTTGATTTTTACAATGTTCCTGTTCAGGATAGATCGAAATTTGATGAACTTATGGCCAATAATCTGCCTCCCAATTTGAAAATTAGTTGGGGTTACTGAGCAATTCAGAGGAGGAACACATTGAAATCTCTCCCCCACCCCAAGCAAGTTGGAGTTATCAGACCTTTTGATATTTTACCATGTGAAATACTACCAGACTCTCCTCTAAACCTGCTTTTTTTATGGAAGAATGCGTCATCTTTTTTTTTTCTTGTGTTATGAATTGGCAAATAACAGGATTTTTTTTTTTCACATTTGCTGAAATCTTTTTTTTTTTTTTTTTAATTATAATCAGGTCATTAATAATTTATGAAATTCTTTTTCTACAGTTAATTTGGGTGTAAGACAGGAGGCCATTACAAATTCAGATATGGACTTGACACTTTATAGTAGTTGCAAGAAAATGTTTTAATCCTGTTAGGACTCTTAAATGTGAGAAACAGATGAGATACTTATAAAAGAAACATAAAAGGCTATGTTGCTTATTATAGGAAGGTGTTTCTTTTACTGTCTGCTTTACTGTACAAGTAGAAAGTGATACTGTGCATTCTATATTCCATGTCTCTTGGAATTAAAGAGATTTCTTGAAGTATGTGGTAAATTTTTTTAAAGGTGCAAATTGGCAGAACATCTCCCTGGAAAATGATCATCTGAAGTTTAGTCTCTTGGCACATCTAGCTGATGACTTGGGCCATGTATTGCCTAACTCGAGGCTTTATCAGATGTGCAGAATCAGAGAGGTTCTAGATTTCTACAACATCCCTGTTCAGTGTAGATATAAATCTGATGAGGTTATTGCTAGTAATCTGCTTCCCAATTTGAAAATCACTTGGGGTTACAGAGCAGTTCAGAAGAGGAACACATTGAAAATCTTCCCCCTTCCCTGAGCAAGGTAATACTTAAAATAAGTATTATAACTTTGGAAAAATTAGAATATATGCCAACTACTAAGTGCTGTGTGTTATTTTTTTCTAGTAGTAGGTATATCAGATTCTTACGTTTTGAAATGAGTATTCCTCCTTTCAAAGGAGATAATGCTTATTTCAAACCCTATATCAATTCTGTAACTTTTAAAGAGTGGCATTAGTACCAATGACATATATGACTAGCCAAGAGGGTGGCAGATCTTTGTACTTTAGTGTACTTAATTTGTGGATATTATTCAGGTAGCAATTTACCAGATAGTTCTGAATGACAGTGATTGAATTAGGAATTATTTTTGGTCAAACTTTAAATGAGATGGGGAAGGAATTTCTTAATTGATCTTGGCTCTACTAATAATTCTGAAAGAAAAGTGGTAGAAAAGTTTTAAACGAAAATGCTTTTATTCTCTTTCCCAAGGTGACTCCTGAAGAGGGCAAAACTGTATTGCATATGTAAGTTCTGGCATATTTATTACACAAATTAATTACAGTATAGTCATGCCCTATAAGTATCCTCAGCAGACAATCAGATTTTCAGTTAAACTACTTTTAAGAACCTCATAAATGTCTTGAGTGTCAGTATTTGGAGCTGAGGAGCTTAAACAGAGCTGTCCCAGTTACACCCCTTCTGCTGCTACTACACAGAAAAGGGGTTCAGCATGGAAGTGTTTGAATTTTACATAGAAGATTTGGTTATCCATTTCCCATGTAACTTTTAATTCTGATTTGGACACAGAAAAAAACTGCAAAGGGTTAAGATGAAAGTAAGGGATGGGGAGGTCAGTGTGGAAAAAGAGTTGATTACAGCTGGAGAAGGGACTGCAAAAACCAGGCTTCATTAAGTGTTCAGGCAGAAGAAACTACTTTGTAATCTAGAGCATCCTAGAGCAGTGTTTCTCAAAATTTAGTGTTCATGTGAATCACTTGGGGATCTTTTTTAAAATGCGAATTTGGATTCAGTAGATCTGAAGTGGATCCTGAGCTAATGCATTTCTAATAAGCTCTGGTGATGTTCCCAGGGATTATGTTTTGACTAATGTGGCCCTAGACACTATTATTGAGGTGAGAGACAGGTATCACCACTTAAAGCATCAGTTTTGCTAGCTGAATCTAACAAGGAAGGTTAACTGCATTTCCATCAGTAACTCTAGAGGGCATCACTGGTTTATAGTTGAGTACAGTGAATACATCAGAATGATCTTTAGTTTCCCTGAACAGATCCAATTTGTTTGCTTACTTGTTTATTGAGGTTACCAAACATATGTAATTTAAAAAGGCTTACATTGAAAAATAAATGAATCGTTCCTATATAACTGGTATCAGCTAATTTTACTTAGTCGTATCGTCTATAAGGTCAGTAGGTATGCTGAGTTGTATAAAACCTGCTAATAAAATAGAGATGTAGGGTTAATAGAAATGATCTATAAAAGGGTCAATAAACAGTACGTTTCAAGAAGTATAAAATAGACTTTGCCCTTCTGCTTCCTTATATTTTAACATATTTTTTCTAATTATAAAAAGTAACGCACATTCTCTTTAGAAAATTGGAAAAGGTAAAAAAAACAAGAATCTATCCTGCCACTCAGATAATCACATTTAATATTCTAGTATATCTCCAAATGAAAAAAAATTGTCTTTTACAATTTACTATTTGACATTATTCCTCCAACATCCTACCCACTGCACATTATAAACATTTCTTATTGTTAAATTACCTCAAGAATAACAAATTTGATTAATAGCATCCCATTAACCTATTTCCCTGGAGTCAAATTCCAACTCATACCAACCTTATAGGACAGAGTAGAACTGCCTCATAGGGTTTCCTAGGCTGTAATCTTTATAGGGAGCCTTGGTGATTCAGTGGTTAACAGCTCGGGCTGCTAACCAGAAGGTTGGCAGTTTGAATCCACCAGCCGCTCCTTGGAAACCCTATGGGGCTGTTCTACTTTGTCCCATAGAGTCACTATGAGTCAGAATTGACTTGATGACAACAGTTTTATTTTCTGGGCTAATGTCTATGGAAGCTAGGTTCCAACCACCGACCATTAGGTTCACAGTTGAGCGCTTAACCACTGTGCCACCAGGGATCCTTCCAATTAATAGCATATTATTCCACAACTGGATGCTATGCAATTATTCAACCAATATTCTATTATTGGAGATTTAAATTGTGCCCAGTTTTTTGCTTTTCTATTATTTTTTTATCTAGCTTTTTAAGTTTTTTTGATTATCTTTCTGCCATAAAACTCCATCCTACGTGGAAATCATTACTCTAAATTGTGGTGGTTGTGTGCCTCAAGTTGATTCCAACTCAGCAACCCTATAGGACAAAGTCAAATGACCCCATAGGGTATCCTGGTCTGTGATCTTTATGGGAGCATATCACCAGGTCTTTTCTCCCGCTTTCGGACCGCCAACCTTTGGGTTAGCAGCCGAACACTTAACCATTGTGCCATCTGAACTCTTGACTCTAAATCTAGGAATGACTTGGTTGTGCATCTTTGATTTGTAATCCCATTAGCACATGTTCTGTGTATTTTAAAGCACAAAAGGGCAGGTACAGTACTTTGAAAATGGATGAACTCAGCCTTATCTGGGATTGCTTTTCCATCCTTCCATTTTCACTAGGTTGTTCTACAATGCAAAAGTACTGAAAGTTTTTACTTGAATGGTGTCCAATTTCAAAAGCACTCTCTCTAAAGTTAACTTCTGATTCCATAGAATTTCAAAGTTAATCTTGGTTGTACAGCAGCAGACTGAAGCTATCGCCAAAGCTCTGATTTCCACCATGAAATATCAAACTCTAGATATTTAATACTGATGCAACGCTAGTCATACACTGCCTATATCTAAATTTCACCAATGTCCCAATAATGATCCTGATATCAACTTCACTCCCTGATGCAGGATTTAATCCAGGATCATCCTTTACATTCTGTACAATGTCTGTTTAATCTTAACTCTGGAACAATTCTTCAGCAAATTGTATTTTCAAGGTATTTATTCATTTCATCTAAATTATCAAATTGGCATAAAGTTGTTCATAATATTCCCTTGTTTTCCTTTTAATGTCTATTGGATCTGTCAATCTTTCATTTTGGTTATTGGTTCTTTGTGTTCTATCTCTTTTTATACATGACCAGTCTAGCTAGGAGTTTTTCACTTTTGTTGGTCTTTTCAAAGAATCAACTTTTGTCTTTGTTAATTTTTTCTATTTTTAAATTTCATTGGTATCCGTACTTACTTCCTTTCTTTTGAGTTTACTTTGCTCTTCTTTTTTTAGCTTTATAAGGCAGAGCCTTAGGTCATTATTTTAGACCTTTCTAAGTCATTAAAGTTATATACTTTTCTTTGTAGCTTTAGCTTCGGCTTTATACTACAAAATTTTTTATGTTGTAATTTCATTATCATTCAGTTTGAAATATTTTCTAATTTCCCATGTGATTTCTTCTTTGACCCATGGATTTTTAGAAGTGTGTTTGACTTTTAAATATTTGGGGGGTGGTTCTAGATATCTTATTGATTTCTAATTTAATCCCATTTTGGTCAGAGAATATACTCTATGATTTCACTGTTTTTGTATTTATTGAGATTTGTTTTTATGGCCCAGCTTATGGCATATCTTGTTGAACATACCGTGTGCACTTGAAAAGTGCCTTTTTCCCCTTGAGCCTTCTTTTTCCAGTACTCTACCTAGAGTTGCCCTGAAGGTCAAAACATCAAATATGTCTTTTGCAGTCTAACAGAGCTAAAGTAAGAGAAGTGCCAGCTTACTGCCCACTGCTTGCTCTAGCTTCCAATTAACTTTTAAAATTTGTTGAATCCAGCCTCCTCCTAATTTCCCTTTTTTCATTTTCTATTTTTCCTAAATATCTAGCTCCCAGGGATAGCCCCTACATTTTAGTGACATATTTATGAATTTTCTATATAAACAAGTTGTTTGACTTCTGTTGGCACCATTTGGGCATGTCTTTCCTCTACAAATAAAGAAGTCAGAGTTAAAGGACTCTGAATTAGAAGATGCTCTCTTCTCTGAGGCCACATCAGCTGGGACATACAAATGGTAATAAAATTCTTTTTCTAGGGCTCAATCCCAATTTTCAGAATTTGAGGGATAACAAATTCCCCACTGACTCCCATCTCCTCCCCAACTAATTCACAGAGACTATAGAGATAGCTATAGGGCAGAGCATTTTGGGATTTTACATGACAAGAAAGTAAAAGAACTATATCCGTAAAAGAATTGGATCTTTTTTATTTCAGGTGACAAACAGACCATAAAAAGTGTAAACTTAAAGGAAACTATTAGTAAATTAAACTTCCTTAATATTAAGAACTTCTTATAAGCCAAATAC